AGTTTGGGGAGTAGTTTTTAGATTTTTTTTTTTTTTGGCAAGTGGGGGCGGATACCAGGGATTGAACTCAGAGGCACTCGGCCACTGAGCCACATCCCCAGCCAAATTTTTAACAAACTCAGAGGCTTTTTCTAATACTTGTTCCTGGCTTTTTTCTCATTATGAAGATATAGATATGCAGGTTCTATAATATATGGTTTGAAAAACTGACCCTGAACTACATAATACCTTATTCCCTATTTCAATAAAAAGAAAAAAAAAGAAATTTTATTGCAGTAGACATGGGTATTTATCATTTTAAAAATATGAAGATCAGCAAAAAGTAGAAAATAAAAATCACCCATAATGGCACTCATTGGAAATAACCTCCATTCAGATTTCTTTGAAAGCATTCCATTCATAATAATCCAAAGTAAATGCCAAGATTCTTTTAAAAAGGGAAATTCACCAGTGTTTTGAGGTTTTGTAGATACCACAGACATATTAAGATATATTGCATAAGCAAACCACGATTGTTTCAAAATAGCATGTGTATTAATGTACATGAATTTTTAAAACACAATTCCCCATCACTTCATTTGATCTTAGAAGCTTTAATGCCACTGCATTAATTCTTTACCCAACCTTTCCTTATGTTCCTGAAGAAGGTCCATTATTCACTTTTAAGAATAGCCTCATTTATTTTAATTCTAAACACTGATTTCTTACATAATTGTGGCAACGTTTCAGTGGAGGCCAACAGTCTGAGATCCACCTGAGGATGCAGCCCTGGGCTCCCCTCTGGAGTCAGAACTCAGGGATGACTCAGTCCTGGGGAGTCTGGCTGACAGAGACCCTGGGACTCTGAGCCCAAACCTCACCCCTTTTTGCCTTCCCTTTTTAGTCTTTCTAGCTTCTCAATGTAAAGCCGAGAAATCTCCCCAGACTTATCTTCTCTACCCTGTTCCAGTTTTTGATGGGCCTTGTTTGATAAGTTAATTCCTCTGTGGAAATGTCAACTCTTTCTCTCTGTCATCAAATAAAATTGCATTGGGAATATCATAAAAAAAAGATCTTTAATCAAATCCTCATCACCACTATAGCATGTTTTGGTAAATAATTATACTAAGACAGTATCTGGGCCAATGACACTTGTCATTGATCCAGTACTCAAAAGTTGGGTTTTACTTTTAAAGGATGTTTTTAGAAGTGCTGAGAAGTTCTTCAGGGTATAAAAATTATTATATTTTATTGACATGTTTGCTAAAAACATTTTTACAGTAAAAATCAAACTGAGACATCTAGTTATCTTAAAGTCTGTTTTTTTATTTTTGCCATTTTTACCAAATTTTTCCTACAGCTTTAACATACAATACAGTAAATTCCATACATCGGTCTAGATGGGAATATTTCTTAATTTGGTTATTAGCTTGTTATTAACATATTATTTATTCTTTTGTTTTATTTGTAATATAAATAGGAAATACTTTCATAAATAAGAAATGTTTTCTTATAAATAAGAAAATATGTATTATTTCCCCTATATTTGGTACTTTATATTTGATTAGTAGTGGCAGTAAGTGGTTTTCAGAGAAACTCTTACCAAGTCCAAGGTATCATCCAAATAATGCCAACAGTGATGAGATTTTTAGAGTGACATACTGTTTTAATATGTATAACTCCTGTCCTAGTTCATTTAGGCTGCTCTTAATACTTGCCTAGTGTGTGTGAGGCCCAGAGTTCAATCCGTATTACTGTAAAAATTAAAAAACAAAACAAAACAACAGAACTGTATTTCTCATGGTTTTATAGGCTTGGAAGTTTAAGATCAAGTTGGCAGCAGAGGCAGGGTCTAGTGAGGACCCACTTCCACATAGACAGCCAACTTCTTACTGTAACCTGGCATGGTGGAAGTAGATACAGGTCTCTCTCCACCCTTTTTAAAAATAAAGGCACTGATCCCATTCATAGGGCTCCTGCCTCATGACATCATCTCTCAAAGGCCCCACCACCTAATACCTGGGGGTGAGAATTTCAATTGGAATCTTGAGGGAATACAAATTCTGTCCATTGCAGCTGCCTAACTATCTCTACCTTCAAGTGATGGAGCAGGCATACCTTCTTGGCCACAAAGAATCCCCTACACTCCTCTCTTAGAGAATTGTGCTTCATATTGTATTTAGTTGTTATTCTCAGATTGGATTCTTTGAGATCAGCTTCTAGTACATAGCAATGTTTGTTGAGTAAGTGAATAAAAGAACAACTGAGTGTGGTAGTGCATGCTTGCAATCCCAGTGACTTGGATGGATGAGGCAGGGGGATTTCTAGTTCAAGGCTAGCCTGGACAACTTAGAGACCTTGTCTCAAAATAAAGACAAAAAAAGCTGGGCATGTAGTTCAATGCACAGTGCTCCTGGGTTCAGTCCCTAGTACTATTAAGAAAAAAAAAAGGAATAAATGACACATGGCAAACTTCTAGCTATCTGTGGGAGTATGGTCATGTATTGATTTAGAGTATAAACTTGGAAGCCCAGACCACCTAGATTCAAATCTTGGCTCTATCGTTTATTAGCTGTGTGTCCTTAGACAACTGCATATCATATTTGTGCATCTTAGTTGTCTTTTTGGTGGAGGGTTACTGGAGATTGAACTCAGGGGCACTTAACCACTGAGCCACATCCCCAGCCCTTTGTATTTTATTTAGAGGCAGGGTCTTCCTGATTTACTTGGGGCCTTGCTAAGTTGCTGAGGCTGGCTTAGAACTTGCAATCCTCCTGCCGCAGTCTCCTGAGCTGCTGGGATTACAGGTATGTGCTACCATGCCCAGCTTCTTGGTTGTCTTCTCAAATGTGGGGATAATTGCAGTACCGAGCTCAGACAGTTCTTATAAAGGGTGGTATATGCAAAGTGCATTGAACAGTGCCTATATATAGTGAGTGCTGCATAAGGTGGCTGCTACTATTGTTATTATCCCCCCCTCCCCTTTAAAAATAGCCCTGGATAAAACAATAGGTATCCTTAGGAAATTCATTCTGGATTCAGTTTTTCTTCTGTGAAAATGAAGTAGTACTTTGTCTCCACTTTGGGTTTAGGAGCTGGAGGATGTGGAAAGGGATAGTGAATGTCCTCAGTATATCACAAGGCTGAGGACCTCTGTCTTTCTTTGTCACCAGGCTACAGCTAGATATAATCAGGCCCTTGGGAACTAATAAGTTAATCTTTTTAGTTAGAATGAATCAACTCAGTAGAGCCACTCTGTTAAGTCTGTCTGGTTCTGATGCATCTTAATTCAGAGGGTAAGCAACTGAATTATTGATAAAGTTTATTTGGTAGATAAAATCTTTAATAATAGTGATCTACAGGAAAGATAATAGAAGGAGTGGTTTTGATAATAAACATTGGGGAGGAAGAAATGGAAAGAGTTTTGAACTGTTTAATGATTTTTATCCTCTTCATATTTAAAAATAGTCTGTTTAACATTTAATATGACTGATTGTATCTAGCTGTTGGCCTCAGATTTATTTTTTGACTTTCCTTTCAGCATTTTATTATGATAAATTTCTAGTTATAGCAGAGTTAGGGTATTTTACAGTACATGTTCACATATTCAACACTGTTTCCCCACCTCTGTTCCACCTTCACCTCCTCTATCCCCATCCTGCAGCTAGAGATTGAACCAAGGGCCTCTAACATGCTAGGTAAGTGCTCTACCCTGAGCCACACCCGACACACAGATTCTAACATTAACTTCATCCAGTACTTGCTTGGTTACAAAGCTGTACTTCCATCTTACTTTATTGATTGATCGATTGTGGAACTGGAAATCAAACATAGGACTGGGCACATCATAGACAAGTACTGAACCACTGAGCTACATCCTAAACCCTGTGCATACATTTTATATATTTGATTAATTTTATTCTAAGTTTTTTTTTTGTTGTTGTTTTGTTTTTAGTTGTAGTTGGGCACAATACCTTTAATTTATTTTTATGTGGTGCTGAGGATCCAGCCCAGGGACTCGCACATGCTAGGCGAGTGTTCTACCGCTGAGCCACAACCCCAGCCCAGATTAATTTTATTCTTTAATTTAAAAGTTTTTTTTAGTTGTAGATGGACACAGTAACTTTATTTTATTTATTTATTTTTATGTGGTGCTGAAGATCGAACCTGGTGTCTCACACATACTAGATAAGCGCTCCACTACTGAGCCAGAACCCCAGCCCCTGTTTAGGTTTATTCTATTATTTAATTATCCTCTTGAGTGAAGTCAATATTTTATTCTCAGTCCCCAGAAATTAGTAGACACACACATACACACATCCATTGCTTTTTTAGAGTTGTGATGTAAGGAGTTTATTCGAAGAATTAAGATTCAAGGTGAAGAGCAGGGTGTAACTCAGAGATAGAGCACCTGCTTCTTCTGCATGAAGCCTTGGAGTCAATCCCCAGCACCACAAAACAAAATACCTAAGTAAGTAAGTAAGTAAGATTCAAGAGACTCAAGAGGCAAGGGAGAAATGTGTAGGTGGAAAAATAAGTACTTGGGAAAATAATATAATAGATAGATGTAAGTTAATGCAGTCTCAGCTCTTGTTGCCAGTGAATGGCAACATTTATGGATCAGAAAAGGAACTAAATTAAATAAAATGTTTTGAAGAAAATTCTCGGTGGTTGAAGGTTAACAACACACAGGCTAATGCCTAAGATACAGTTTATGTCCACTTTGTTTCCTCTAGAAAGTTACTGAATTTCAGTTTCCTTTTCATGGCTGGTATGGAATCCACAATACTAGTTCTTTTGGAGTTCTGCCAGCAATTCCAAAGCGCTTGAATAGGTCACAGGGCAAAATCTTGATTGTGATTCAAAGAGAAGGCGTAGGTTACTTTGTTCCCCATGAACTGCGGAAACACTCCCAGAAACCTGCGTGCACTTCTTTTGGAGGGCAGTGTTTGCTTGTTGCTGTTTTCTTGTCAGGGTACATTTATCAGAAATACAGAGCTTCGGAGTCCCTAATGAACATTTCTCCCTTTTCACTTTCAGTTCACTTCTGTAACTGAGATGGACATGAGATAATCTCCATCGAGTCAAAAAAAATGGCATCTAGTCCTGACCTTCCCCACAGAGATCAACAGGCTGCCTTGGGCATTGACCATCTCCAGGTGTCACTGCAAGGTAATGAAGATCCCATGGGGTAACACCCACAGACCCTGTGGAAAACTAACCCTCCCTTCTTCACAAATCCTACTGCTTTCTCTCTCTCTCATGTTTTTTTAAAAGATCTATCTGTATTTTTCCAACTGTAGAACTCTTTCAGTCTGTAGCACTTAAATGTCTTTATTCCTGTCTGGCTCTCTGGGAATTTGATATCTCTGATTTCTTACTCTGAAAGTATGCATTTTATTTGCATTAACAATTGGTTAGCCATAGTTTGCTTGGCATTATTTTGTACTTTTTGCACAGCCTCTTTTAAATGCAAATCCTTATTTTTGCCTATTCTGCCTCAAAGCACCACCACCAAAAAAAAAAAAAAAAAAAAAAAAGACTATTAGAATGTTATATGGGAAGGATCTGTCAATCATGTGAATTCTGTATGTGCATCTCAAAGTACTACTTTTTTTTTTTAAGTGCTTTTTATGGAGTTTGATAATTTGAAAATTCCTTAGCCACTAGACTTTATGTTGTTGATAAAACAAATATTGGAATTGTAGAGTTAGTTAGTATAGAAGAACTAAGGCTATTGAAAAAAATTTATATTTATAAAACTATATATTTTAAAGTAATATTAAGATTATGGATAGTACTATACAAATATTTAAGACAATACTTAAAAGTCATAGTTTTTTTTAGTCATTTATGATAAGGATTCTAAGATGCTTTTCTAATATTTTCTAGATTAAAAATGTCTTTTGATTGATTAGCTTCTTGTCCTTGAGGTTAAGATGGAAATCTATTAATGGAATAGGTTATATCTATATCAGTCTTTTAAAAGTTAATACTATGATTTTGGGGGCTGGGGATATAGCTTAATGGGTAGAGTGTTTGCCTAGCATGCATAGGGCCCTGGGTTCAATCCCCAGCACCACCACCAAAAAAAAAAAAAAAAAAAAAGTAAATACTGTGATTTGTATAGAGTAAGAAACATTTAAGTTGTTGGGAGGTAGAATTTAAAATTTTTCTTTTTTCTTTTTTTGGTAATGGGGATTGAACCCAGTGACACTTAACCGCTGAACCACATCCTCAGATCTTTTTTGTATTTTATTTAGAGACAGGGTCTTACTGAGTTTCTTAGGGCCGCTAAGTTGCTGAGGTTGGCTTTGAACTCGAGATCCTCCTGCTTCAGCCTCTAGGATTATAGGTGTGTGCCACCATGCCTGACCTCCCAAATCTTTAATTTTTATAATACCTCATAATATTCAGAAGTAGTTGGAATCAAATTTTCATTTAAATGAAAAAAATAGTGTTCTTGCTTTTTTTTTTTGTAGTGTTTTGGCTAAAATAAACAGCTAGATTTAATTTCTAGTGGTGGCTCTGCTGCTTATTGGTTCTTTGAATTTAGACAGGAGACTTCTTTTTTTGAACCTCAGTTTCCTCATTTGCATAATATGGATGATCATGCCTTCATTTCAGTTTTCCCAAAGAGAAAGAGACACAAAGGACACAGCACAGTGCTTGGCACAGAATAAGGACTCCATAAATGTATTGTCATTTCTTTTTCTTTCTTTTTTTTTTTGTGTTAAAAGTGAAATTTATTATAATATAAAGTGCAAGTGTCATGATTAAAAATGTCAGTTAAAATTACAAAGTATTTAAATAATCTTCCCAATGTAAATATTGCAAATGACTACTTCAATAATTCTATGTATTCACAGAATATTGAAAACATGAAATCATGTACAAGGCCAAAAAAACAACATTACTCATTATTCTTTTAGATATCACTTTTCTCTTCTGGTTCCAATGTCACACCAACAAACAAAGGGTGTGCTAATTACTAAGATCACAAGCCTCAAGGTGGAAGTGCTTTGTACACATGTCAACTGCCATATTAATGTTTTAAAACCATCGGTTTTTCTTCTTATCAAGTGGTTCTATTTCCTATATTTTCTTTTCTCAGTGGGTTTGTGGAAAAAAAGATGAGCTAGTAAAACTATGATTATAAGATACAACATGACATGTATTTCCCATGATTTATTTAAAGGTGGCATAAAGTTTTGAATGAAATACCATTAAGTACATCAACATGTAAATAAACTCCAGCAGTTCACTTTTGGCTTGCTCACTTGGCTCCAGTATTTCTTGAGAAAGGAGAAGGGCAGAGCCATCAAGAAGAAAGGGCAAATCAGAACTGCTGAGGAGTTGGGATAAGGTAGCATTAGGAAGGGGTTAGGAAGAAGTGCAAGACTAATAAGGGAAATTTAAAAGTGATGCCTATCTCTTCTTCTCTCCTCATAATTAAAGCAGGCACTGGTTCCAGCCTAGCCTTCCTCTCCTGCATACCAGTGGGGCTTGGGTTATTTTTTGCTCTTGCACTGTGAAAAAGGCACCACCTTTCAGATGATGGACATATCTGCTTCCCACTGAAAACACTTTCCACAAATTTGGGAAATAGCCCATATATTACAGTTTGGAACAGTTCACAAACACCAAAGAGAGTCTGAACCCTTCCTCAACATAAGGATATTTTTTTCCCTCAAATGAGCAGAACTCCCAAAGAGGGTAAGTGATGGATCCAAGGGGAAGACAAGGAAGCTAGGTATGATGTTTATAACAAAGTTTCTCAAACTCTAATGTGAATATGATTCACTCATCAAAATGCACTGGGTCTGGGTGGTGGGCAGAGGAGCTTCAGATTTTATATTTCCAATAAGCTAGGAGATGCTAGTGCTCTTGGTCTGTGGACCACATTCTGAGAAGCAAGGGTCTGCAACACAGAGGGAGCCAAGTTTTTCTGAGCTATAAAAGACCTGCTTCAATGTCTTCACCTATCTAAGCATACCTCCACACAAAAGGTTTAGGTGGCCTGTACAAATGAGCAGCTGTTTGACTATGTGAACAGCCAAACAAATAACATAGTTCAACTTCAGTAAAAATAGTGGTCCACTGTCTAGGAATAAAACTAATCTTTTACTTAGGAAGTCTTCCTTAGAGTGATCATGATATAAAGGTATAAAAAAAACAGCATATTAAATCCCATAGTAAAATGCCATGGGTACATATACATACAGTACAAATCTTAAGAAATACAGGGTTCTCTATCAAAATAAAGTGCTACCATGGCTCCCAGCTAAAATCATCTCCTCTTCCAAATACCAGGAAAAAAACCTTGAATTGTAAGAAAAATGACAGTGTTGCCTCCCAGTACAAGGCTCCCCATTTGATCCTGGCCACATGTGCAAGAATAACAGGAAATCCAAAGGCAGAAACAACAATTCCAGTAGTGAAGAAATATGCACTGCTGGTTGTGTTACAGTCATATGTGACTCTTTTGGAGATGAAATGGGGAATAGGGGAGATGGTGTGAAAAAACAGGACAAAAAAGGGCGAGTTTATACCATAATCCTCCAAGGCACATCCCAGCTCAAGAAATGTCAGTCCAATAGCCCCAGTGAAGCATAATGCCACAAGAGCTTTAACACCCGCCGTGTCTCCCGAGCTAGCATTATTTCTTTTTATATATTTATGGCCACAGATCTTTGTGTTAAAATCTTTGTCCAGGAACACCCAGCTAGAGCAGAAACCTCCTGGTATATAGGAAAAATTTGTAAACCAGGAGTTTTGGTATTACTGTTTGTTGTTGTTGTTGTTGTTGTTGTGTTGTTTTGAAACGTCTCTTCAATGTCTTCCCAACACTCACAGGATGGGTTTAGACTTCTTGGTGTAGGCACAGGTCCTCTCTGATCTGGTGCTTGCCTTTCTCTCTGCTGTCGTCTCCCACCACACCTCTGTAGGCACACTGTGTTTTAGCCCCCACATTTTTCCAACGGGCATAATCTCCCTTGCCCAAGAGTGAGTGTGTTTGCTCAGGTTGTTCTCTTGTAGCCCTGACTTCTTCTGTAACAATGGAGTCCAACTCATCCATCCCAGGGTCAGCCAGCCTCAGCCTCCTCAGCCTGAGCTCTTCTCTGTGAGGCTGAAGTATGTGTTCCCTCTGTTTTCTTATGTCTGTTTCAACATTCATAGTATTATAATTACTGTATTTAATAATACTTTGTTCCCCACTACAGAGTGAGCCTCCCATAGCATGTTCTAGCTTACTAGCACTTTTGCATTATCTCATGGGATCTACTTTATCTCACTTGATCTTTACAACCATATGATAAGGTAGATCTTTATATGTTTGGTGAACAGAGATGCTGTGGCTCAGGACATCTGGATAATCTTCCCAGAGTCACACAGCTGATGAGCAACTAGGTTTTGACTTGGAGTATAGTTTTCTTTTCACTGTATAGCACTCCCTCTGACACACTTCAAAGAACAATTTGGTAGGCATAATTTCCCTTCCACCTTTCTCTGAGAGTCTATTAGGTCTCAGCCTTACTCTCTTCTGTCTAGAGCAAACTTAAATCTAGAATGTGGATGGACATCTTCAGCTCACCTTAGTGATCTCAGGATTATAAATTGCTCAAAATAATTAGCAAATTACTAGAAATATAACGTGCTTTGGATTATAACTAGGTCATACAATCTGCTTTACAATAGAAGACTAGTATGAGCTATTTAGCAAGGAAAATGTCATATCTAGGAACTAGCCAGTCTGAGTAATTTACTTACATGATGTATTTCAAGGATCATAGTGCCTGATGCATCATCCATGGGGAAGAAGTGGGAAGCCAGTACTACATGTCATTTACTGATCCTTGGGGTAATTTGAGAATGGAGGCTTTGTGTAATTTGAGAGGTTCAAGATCAATGCTCATAAGAAAGTTTTTCCCCCATTTTCATTTCAGAACATTTTTTTGGTTTTGTTTTAAGAGGCAGATAGAGGTAGTATGATGGTCTAATTAAGTTATAAAGCCTACTTTATTTGAGCAAAACTTCATCTGAGGTGAGGGAATTGTGGCCACACCTTGGCTCGAAATAATGCACTCAAAAAAAAAAAAAATTAAAATGCCTGAATTGAAATGTGGTGATTCATCATTGATAAGCTGTGAGAACAGGTATCCCATGTGTGC